CCCCAAAACCCCAAAACCCCAAAACCCCAAAACCCCAAAACCCCGCCTTTCTGATGGAGCATTGAAATTGTTAACTCCTGAGTCTTAAAAATTGATCGTTAATCCTCCTTAACTTTGATCTTGGACTTGAAAGATGTCATGTTTGGGAATAAGCTTCTAAATCTGAACAAGATTCCTTTCTCGCCATGATTTCTTTGGATTCCATCTCATACTGGGAGGAGGAAGATTGTCAAATACACTGCCTTGGCAATAAAGTCCAGGTCATAGCCATTAAAATTGGAGGGAAGATGGTCATCGTAATAGATTTGATAATCCTTGCCTAAATGGACTTCCCCCACTGAAACTTCCTTCAAGCTGATTTTGATCATGATTAAGATCACAGTAGTCAAGTTCAGATAGAAGAACACAATAATGTCCACCAAGAATCCTTGGAAGTTCACTTCGTCCTTAATTTTGGCAAATTTCGTTAGAATAAAGTCCTCAATAATATTTATCTGGCTGATACAAGAAGCCTGAGAGAGGTCAGCGTAAAATAAGATGCGCAAAAACTGGACTCCTGGGAAGATTCTTTAGTAAAGATTACTCAGTAAGCTTACTGTTTAGCAACCTCAGTGCTTGCTTGTCCTAATAACTAGTAAACCTTTGAGACTTACCTATGAATTCAGTTGGGCTAGCATCTAATTTAGGAACAGGTACCTCAACTATATTTGGAAATGTCAGTTGGATACACAACTTTTGTCATAAAATAAATGTTATGAACCCTACGGATGCTCTCATCCAACGGGGCTAAAATAATCTGCACTTGAAAATAAAGAATATGATTAAGAGCAGCTATCAAGGGAGGCATTAAGGATAGGAGAGACTAAGAGGATTGGTTGCAGTTGGAAAAATTTGAGGCTTTACCATTAAGGAATTGAGCCCAGTTTACGAGTCTTTTCCTCTCATCAGGCTTACCAATCCATCCTCCTTACATTCCTTCCAATTATTCTAAACCTACAGCTGCAATTTACTTAACTCCCCAATACTAAGACCAGAAGACTTCTAAGTATGGCTCTTAAAACCCTCCGTTCTTCAGTATTGAAGCAGAGGCTGGAGCATGCCAACTCTCTAATCAGCCCTGAAGGCAACAGTAGTACTCAAGATGTGTGACACCTTTAATACTATGGCACTAAATTCTAATCCTCCAAGGCGTAGACCACAAACACCTGTACTACTTACTTCTAAGAGTGTTGACATTTTCCAAAGCTTCAATGTAGTCCAAGCACATCAGGTAGTTAAACAGAAGGCAATATAACGTTCTTGTGATCTTGTTGTTTTTATATGCCCAATCGAATGTATCATCTGTAATTGCATAAATACTGAACTCAAGGATGATAAACTTGGGTAAAAAGTATACAAAACTCATCAAATCAGGTTCCTGAATAAACAGCAGCTGGTATAACACCGGAGAATAATAAACCCTAAATAAATCAAAAAATATTTTTCTTGGAAGCCATGCCTGAGGATCTCTTGCTCGTGATTCACACATTTTCCATGCTGATCTTATCTCAAAATGAATAAGGAACATGTTGGTAAACACAAATTCCTCAATAGGAAGGATGTACTTTCATAGATAGCCTAGAACTCCTAAGCCTACTCAGTAGAACAGCCAAGTCACTACAGTGGGCACTGAAATCATTTTAAATCTATAAAATAAAACGGGGTTTTGGGGTTTTGGGGTTTTGGGGTTTTGGGGTTTTGGGG